TCCCCAAGGATTGCGTCAGAGGTGGGGGATGCATTCCCCTGGAGGAAGGGCTGAATACGGCCCCAGCGCACTATCAACTCGGCCGCGCCCCAAAGTGTGAAGAAAGTGGGGAGCCGATTTTTCGATCGGTAGCCCCAACAAGGTAGTAGTGCTACACAAACCTGAGCCAAACTTCTGAATCAGCGAAATCAAGTGGTCGAAATTTGCATCTGTGAATTTTGAGGTTACTCCACAGCCAGATAAAAGCTCTTTCTCACGATCCGTTACAGCCGCGCGAAGAGCCTGAAGAGTTGGTTGCCGTAAACAAAATATCCACATTCAACTCAAGGGTAGGAAAATCTCCCACCCTACATAACACTATCAACACAAACCTTGAATGTTTGCTGGATTTGCTCCGTTACTGGAATGCTTTTGTCAGCTTGAGGTTTCGCCTCTTGCGCTGAAAGAATCGGTTAATTTCATGCATCGGCAACTCCATACGCTTAAATCGAGTAGTACAAGTGTCATAATCAGTCATTGCAATGGAGAACCGTCATCATTCGGACAGATCGCCACATATCAATTTTCAAGAAGAATGGCTCTGCTGATCAATTATGCCACTCAAACGACGATAAGAGACATTCATGGTTGTGTAAGAACAACAATAAGTGAACAGCAAAAAAGTACGACGGAAAGGAAACTCACGTTTGGCTTGGATTACAAACCCATTTGTCTGAGGTGCAGTCTTAGCAGGCAGCTGCGGGGTAGTCGCGTCCACCGCTGAAATCAGTGCACAGAGTGAATGAGATGACGATTACGATATTTCAAACTCTCGGCTGCGTCAGGCTGCTTTTACTTGCACTGCTCTAGTGCCACACTTTGCAATGGCGTCCGGAGAAATTCGAGGTAAAATATTCCGAAAGAGCCAGCGAGCATTATCAACCACCGTTGTGCAAAGTCTAACAAGGGAAGAATCTACTTAGGAAGTCATATTTTTTGTGGCCTTGTGTTAGCAGGAGGCAGGCAAGATTTACGTATTTAAAAATTTCAGAGGCGCTTGGCGGCAATTTTGGAGGGAAAAGTTGTAAGGTTTAGCCCAGTCTCAGAATCTCTCCACTATATATAACGTAATTGTGTAGCCGTATTGGTATATATTACTTGGTATGGTACGATTATCTGTAGTGGCTGCAGCTAAATGAAAAATGAGCCGTGGGCGGTACCATAAGAGATCACGATTGTGGTACTTTCACATATACAATGCGCACCCAATTCATGATGGAAGACGAGCATTCTCGGAAAGGCAAAGAAGAGAGCCAAAGTATTAGTTCGAAAACGGCGAAAAATACTAGCGCAAAGACAAGCGGCAGCGCCTTGAGGATGCGGGTTTCGCGACGAAGGGTATGCTCCCAGCGGCCTAGCTAGGCTATACCCGCGCCGCTCGCGTCGCTGCCGGTCCACACCATGCTGTCTGACTTGAGTCGCTTGAGCAGAGATTTTAGACGAGGTCAGCACCTATGAAATAACGTCCTGGAACGCGCCTTTATCAACAAGCAAAAAGGCCATTGCTAGCGCAGGCCGTTTTCTTGGTATCTTCCTTTAATACTTCATGCACTTACCACTTTTCCACATTGATTTCTAACGGGCTGTGTTTTCATCGTGAGCTGCGAAAGGTTCTAGCGGTTGCCGGGTGACAACCTGAACCGTGGCAAGGGCCGACGGTGGAGGGATGAGAGAGGAGGGAATCATATGTCTCCCTTGGCTATGGAGATGGCGGCTGGTGAGGAAAATTTGGGAAATCAGTACAACCGGAACGTTCGACCCTAGCCTGTGAAGTGTCCCCAAAAAACCAAGCTGGCTCTATGTTTTCGAAGACGTGGTACAATCATCAGTTTTGAGACTGTGCAAGATGCACGCAGGACACGCACTGCCCCATTTTAACACATTGACGACATTGAGACGCGGTAACGCGTCTCACTTTGCGCACCTCGTTGGACATTGAGACGCGTTACCGCGTCTCACCCTTATCATCCCTTTTTCTAGGGCATGCGCAGCTTTTTCCCGAATTGTTTGTCTCTCTTCTATGGATTAGAACATAACATTATTGTGAACGACATAGGTCATTGTTTGTTCAAATATGCTCCAGTTTAGAAGAAGTTTTCCAAGCTCACCGAAACCGGCGGCTTGGTTCATTAATAGTTTTCATGCTATTCTCATGAACACGTCAATAAAAAAGGGTAGTGAAAGTAAATGCAAATCTAAAGAGACAGAAAAATACATGTTTCACTTGGTATAACCACATCAAAAGAGCTTTTGGCATCCACTACAGATAAAATGACTAAAATTTCCTTTTTCATTACCATTACATGTTCTTTTTAATCGGAACTTCGTCACTATATACTCTATTACCTTCTACGCATTGACTGTTACTGAGATGTTTTTGTACCACTGGTGCTTTAAAAAGTTATCAATAAAAATTCACGGATCCGAGGTGCGGCGGTCGCACTCGCAAAATCGGCCCGGTCCCACACGGCCAAAAAAGCCAAAACGCGCGCGGTCGTCAATGTGTTAAAGCAACAGTTCAGGAACGGTTTCGCGGGAAAAAACCACCAATAATGAAGTTGTAGATGAAAACCAGACGATTAATGTATGAAAAACTGGAAAAAAAAACGTCGGGGAGGGTCTTAGACAGGTACTTCGGTGCTGTATTGCCACGCGTCCCAAATGACGGCGGGCAAGGGGGCGGATTGGGGAAATCCCCAAGAACACCCATGTTTGAGGGACTTTCCACCCTGTTTTTGAGTTTCTGAGGTAAGTTCGTTTATTATTTCCACTGCATATGTTCTTCACTAGGGCTCGTGTATCCCTCAGTAGTAGTGGCATTGAAATTTTCGGACCCTCCCTGAACTGTTGCTTTAGAATACTGTCGTAGCCTCGGGACGCTAGGTCACTGAAACGCGAATCGAACGCCTAGCGACTGAACTCAAAAAGTAGATTTGAAACCTCTGTAAGGCACGGCGTCTTTTCAAAATTTTCATACACATCCAAAAGCTTGGCTTTCTCACAACTCTATTTCCAACTGGCAACTCCAAATCATACATTCGTCTAATACCGGACCGACAAGTTGTACAAATCTGATTGGGAATGAAACTAATTTCAGAGTGTCATAGCAAGATCACAACTTCAAACATCTTCGAACCACTCAATAGTGTTCTATTGAACCACATATTTCGACATTCCTTCTCACTACGATAGGCACACTGCCTTAACTCCTTGAAACTAAAGTTCCCAATGCACAATTTAAGCTGCCTTAGACCACGTTCAGTGTGCGGTCATGTGGTTTTTCGTGGACTAAAAACGCATCAATGACGTGCGATCGCATGATTAGTTTCACATACCTTTCGCTGGAGGAGCTGCCTTAGCCGTTTTAGATGCGGAGGCTGTAGAGGGAGCAGTGGTGGCCGTCGCGACTGGTGCTGCAGTTGATTCCGGCACGGTGTGCTGCTTATTCTTCTTTTTCTTGTTCTTATTCTTGGAAGAGCCGCTAGCTGGTCTACCAGTGCGTCGAGAGTACTTCCAGGACGCTCGTCTTGCTAAAAGTTATGGCAAGGGAAGTTTTACACCATGTTTCACGCGAAGTAACTCCAAGGAATAAAACAATACCTGTCGCAGAACGCGTTGAATATTGGTTTCCTATTTTTTTCAACATTCATATCTAACGAGTACAAAGCCAATATGATATCATTTGTACTGACACCATGAACAACACTTCACGAACTTTCGCGATCTTTTCGTTGATGATTTTCCTCTCCGCGACCTTTGACATGATCCTGAACCAGAGCAAAGACAGTAATAAAAAGAAAAAGGCTACTAAACAACAAGAAACTGGAATAGTTCACGGAGATCACAGTTTACAACACGCTAATCTCGAGAGCAGATAGAGTATTTCCTTGAGCAGTCTAATACGTCGATTTCACAAGGAGCTCTGCAGGAAATAGACGAGTTCAATTAATTCTATCACGAACTATGAAACAATACACAGTCGAACAAGAGGCGAGCGCGGCATCAACCTGATAACGCGAAAGTTGGCACGCGACGCGCGCACTGCGGAACTGACATTCACTGTATGGTTAGGTGGAAATCCTCTTGTCAAAGTCTTACATTGTGTATATTCACAATGAAATTGCTTATAACTCATCCTTCCCTACCTCAACTATACATTCTTCATGTTCGCTCCTGATCAGCGCCCCGCAATTTCGCTATTTTCGCAGAAATTTCTTTTGTAACACTGTTGGTCCTTAAAACGATTGTCTGCGACGACTCACCGTATGCCAGAAATTGCCGATCGTGATATTTGGGGCACTTCATCAGTCTTTTGCGATATCTCTGTCTTTCTGATTGGTGTGTCTAATGGTGCTAGTTATATTTATGCTTGCTAATTTGTTGGAATGCTGGTCAGGTGCCATTACGAGTCAGGGATTTTACAGCGACGCTAGAAGCGTATGATAGCGGCTTTCCGAAGGTGAGCCAAGTTCCTGTAAATCCATAGAGACTCGCACATATCTCTTTCACATTACAGCTGTCCTCAGCTCTTTAAAACAGATCTTAGAACAATTGATCTTACAGAGCTGACAAGTGGGAGATATCAGAGCTACGCTTGACTTAGGTCTTCTCGTGATGTTACAGTGGGTGCTTCATAAAGAACCTTTGAGCCCTAGGTTTTCTTTAACTTAGCGTCTTATATTCTCGTCATTAAGAGTCTGCATCGGGGTATTGTGAATTTTTTATTCCAGGGGTAACAATGTCGAAGGTTTCACGTGAAGCTCTCAACGAGGCTGTGGCTGATGTCCTCAAGGGCGCTCAGGAGAAGAAGAGGAAGTTCCGCGAGACTGTAGAGCTCCCTAAATTGGCTCAAGAACTACGCATCCCCAAAAGGACAAGCGTTTCAGCGGCGCCGTCAGGTACTCCACTCCTACCTGTAGTTTACAGGGAGCCATTGTGAAATGGCGGACCCTCACCCAGGGTCTTAAAAATTGGGGAGGCTTTGCCGAACAACTGATAACGGTTGACGCTTGGTAAGCGTTGTCTTCATAATAGTCTTGTTTGGAATTATTTTTTGTAGAGGTGAATGCAAAGTAACGTTGAAGTCGTCTGGCAGCACGAAATCATGATTTATTTGGTTTATAGTTATAGAAGAAGGAAAAGATATGTATGAAAGAAAATGAACTTGTCCACAAACTCTCTTTTCGGCCATTTCTTCACGAGATGAGGGTATAAGTTTTCACGCGGGTGAATCGATAGCCTCGTATTACATGGTTCTGTTTGCGTATACGGCTGTTATTACATATTAACCAACAGGCCCGTATTTACACTTGGTGAGTCTTCTGGGGCGGAAGGATATGCTTCTCGGTCGTCCCACTGGGATTGTCCTGATAAAGGGCCTACATTTAATATATGTGTGTTGCTTAAAGTAAACATGCATTGAGAATAAAGAAACAGTGTCGTTCAAAACAAAAAATTTAAAGGGACTTTCGTCCCCGCAAGCATTCGGGGAAGCATACCTTACGGCCTGTAATGCTGCTTTGGAAGGGTTAATGGAAGGTTGTAGCCGTTCTATTTTCCAAATGTCAAGGTTGTTAACTGTTTGAGCTTAGTTTTGCTCAGTGGAGCAAAGGCATTCCACGTTCAAGGATAATTATTCTCAAATTGCCAACACATAGTAATTAGCTCAGACACAGTAGCCATAATATGTATTTTTGAGTGAGATTGAAAGATGGGGGCGATTTCGGACCCTTTCAACGCTAGTTATTAGTTGTAAGGAAGTCAGTGGGGCTTTTCGCCCAATTTTGAGCTAGTTGATCGCCATCGTTTTCATTCCTACATGGAGCCTGTTTCGTGAACCCATTTTTCGCCTATGTTTTTTTTTTCTAAACATGAATGCAGGTGCGAAGTTTCGAATCTGTTTACCATAGCGCCATACCGTTCTCTCAAGTGAGGAATTTTCAAAACAAAGAAATCTCATTTGGATGAGCCATTATCTATAATTTAGTGTTTGACGCAACTAAAATTGTCAGACGACACTAATCTTTTTGAATTATTGCCTTTGTTGCATTCTTATAGGCGGGATTGGTTGCAGGCTGAAGAGCGTTCCCCGACCGGCCATGAAGGTGTGCGTTTTTGGAGATCAGCATCATTTGGATGAGGCCAATGCAAACGGAATCCCATGCATGAGCGCTGATGACCTCAAGAAACTGAACAAGAACAAGAAGCTGATCAAGAAGCTCGCAAAGAGTTACGATGCATTTCCTCGCTTCTGAGTCACTTATTAAGCAGATTCCTCGTATTATTGGACCTGGTCTCAACAAGGCTGGAAAATTCCCTTCTGTTGTTTCACACGGGGAACCGCTATCAGTGAAGGTTGAGGAGATCAAGGCTACAATCAAATTCCAGATGAAGAAGGTATGTTCAGGGTTATTCGCATAAGTTATGATAGTGAATAAACTTATTTATAGGTGCTCTGTCTTTCTGTGGCAGTAGGGCATGTTGAAATGACTCAAGAAGAGCTTGTTTCGAATATTCTCTATCGATCAACTTCCTCGTGTCCCTCTTGAAGAAGAACTGGCAGAACGTGCGCTCGTTGAACATCAAATCTACTATGGGCAAAGCTCAACGTCTATATTAACTGTTGTTGTTTTTATGATAAATTGTTTGTTGTAATGGTTTATTTCAGTGCACTGATGATGTGTTTTCCTGTTCACAGCTTACTGCACGGATTTGTCTTTGGGTTATTTTTTCCATAGAGTGGGCGTTGTGGATTTAAAGATTATTTCGTAAGGGGTGTCAATATTAAATTTGACAGTCAGTAGTAAGGTATGCTTCCAGTCGCTTCGGCCTAAGGCCCTGTTCAGAGATGTCCGCTTGCGCGAAAAAACGCATAGGCGAAACAATGTGAAATATGTATCGACTGAACGAAGACGCACAGGCGAATCGTGAAGTGGGAGGATCGACGAAAATGAGTATCATACGCATCGACTTACGAACGCTTCGCTCACGCGATTTTCCGCCTGTGCGTTTCTCACAGTCGATACATATCAAACTCTTGACTGAAATTCGCCTGCTCCGGACGTTTCGCTTACGCGTTTCACAATTTCTCAGTCGATGCGTATCTAAATCTTGGCGGAGATTTTCGCCTGTGCGTTTTTTCGCGCCGGCGGACATCTCTGAACAGGGCCTTACGCGATGGGGGCGTTGTCTCTGCGTCAACCTGAGCGGTGGCATCAATAAAAGATGTTCCGCCAGCGTCAGAGTGTGCTGAATGGAAATGCAGAGAGCATGAAATAGAAGTTCAAATATTTTCAATCTCGACGATTTGTTGAAATCGCAGGCTTTTGATGTGTTTCCTTTCGCGCCAGGAGAGCTCGTTTATGACACTTCTCTGGGATATTTTTGCTTTGTTTTCGAGCTCTACCTCCTCACATGGTGACAGGGTGGCTCGAAGCTTGCGGCTCTGAATTTCGCGGCTGCACCGCAGAGTTATTTTGAAGACATAACCTAGAAATGTCGGGAAAAGTAGACTGGACTTGGTCGGGCGCTCTTGGTAACTGCAAGCTTTGAGCTGACATGAGGAAAAGCGCAAATGTCGAAATCTAAGTCCACTCCCTGAAGTCTCATCCTAAAACCCTAATTTGCCATGGAAGAGTTCTTTCTGTCCTACCATTTACCAGTTTTTACTTTAGTTTCCTATTGTGCTATTTGAACTGCGAGTAAGACACGCCGTATTTTCTTGGAATACGGTAGGGCGAAATGTACGTCTCACTTTGATATAAGTCACACTGCGAGTCGATCCCTCCTCCCAACTGGAAGAGAGAATGCTGTAAACAGTGCTCGCGAGTATACTAAAACGCCGCTTAATGTAAGAAGGAAGGAGGCATGCAAAGCAACGCGGCCGTTGTACGCCCCGCGGATGAGCGCGGCACCCACCGGGGCTTACTCTATGCTCGCGCGCAGCTGTTCGACGCTTGCGACGGTGCGCGACGTTGTTTCCGGCAAACATACAGCAATACGCTCTTATATTGTAATGCGAGTACCAAGTGTGTAGCCTGACCCATCACATATTATATTAGTGCAAATGAGAAAAGCGACTCACTTGGTCAGCAGCTACGTGAGTTTCATAAATCAACGCAGACGATACATTTCGCGGCCTACCGATCCAAAAAATACGGCGTTGCGACCGCAGTTCCAATAGCACGTTTGCCTATGTTACTGTGCTTGCGGTAAGGCTGCTTAAATATCAGTCATCGAGAGAAAGCAATTTTTGTTGGAGCTTTCCGGGTGTTATGGAGTCTTAAGACAGGTGCTAAGTTAGTTGCCCCTGGGGGCACGGCGGCCGGACGACGGCAGTCTGCTCACCTGGCATGTTCGGAAATCCCGTGAGCCAGGGGGAGTGTAGCCAGTCTAGGGGGGTGGGGGGTGGGGGCAGTCACTTGACATGCGTGAAAAGCTGGAATGTTCGAGTTTACACTGCTGTCTCGTTAGAGAGAGCCCAGGTGAGCAGACTGCCGCGCCGCCGCGTGGCCCCCCCACCCCAACTAACGTTAGACCACCCCAAGACATTAGTTCACAGTTTCGAAATCATCCAAAAATCCGAAATGCACGAATAGGAAATGCTGAATGTATCGAACAGGAGAACCTTTCCACACGCTCGCGATACGCATATGCGAAAGGTTTATGGTGTATCGACGATAAGTAAACACGGCCCTACTTAGAGGTTGTGGAGTATTTTTCGCACCTGCCGCTTATTCGCAGTTCCGGCTCCGCTCCCGATGTACTTCGATCGATGTAGACACTCATATTTTTAAAGGAGGATTTCGCAGATTGGACCAATCCCGACCTTGACCCGTTATTGTTAGAATCGATACGCAGTTTGAACCGCAGATTCAGGTCGTTTCGGGAGGTGCGGCAATAATGTGGAACAAGCCTAAAAGGCGAAAAATGAAAATGTGGGAAAGAACACAGCTAGAGCGATTTCACAACAGTCAAGCACTCGTTTGATAAGCGTGGGAGCCTTGTGAAGAAAAAAAAAAAACGATTATTCTTCTGTGGGGAAAGGCGCTCATGCTCGAAGTACGTATATTATCGTGCAATGTATTAATGCTTTAACCATTCAATCATGACGGTCGTAATCCTCACTCCGAGTATTGGTTGACTGAGCTTGGCTCCTCTGAATTTAATACGACTTCCGTTTGATACTAGATGCCACCTCACTAACGATGCGGCTGCCAATGACGTTTGTAATTCTTCCGCCTACACATATGCCTCCTAGGAATTTATGATGACTATGTCAGAAGGATCGGGAATATTCAGAGGATCCGTTCTTTTTTTCAGATAGATAAAAATGATACGTTCTGTTGAGCAAACAAGTGAGGGCGATATGTGCAAGCTCTGCGCATCGGCATAAAGCGTTGCTATAAGTACGCTGTGCATCCGTTTCTATAACTGTGATATTTTTGTGTATAAGAGCAAAATTCAGTATATTCCTAGGGTGTCAAAAACGTGTTCTGTTTCGGCGATTTTTTGAATACGGTAGGCACAAAACGTAAATGTTCTGAAATGTAGTGCGTGGGGACTGGGCTATATGACGTGATGAGATGTTGTGGAAGTAACTCACACATTCCAGCTTTTTCACGTATGACAAGTGACTGCCTTCACCCCGCTCCCCTGAAGTGGCTATACTCCCTGGTTCACGAATTCTCTCGACTCTCGTGACGCCATGGGCGAGTTGCAGCAAGCCTCAAGTCGAGGATGGGTCCCCTTAGCCAACTCGGTCCGGGATGCGGTACCAACTCGGAGATGTCCAACCGTGATTTGTGTCATCCCAATTTTCGGGTCGTAACCGCGCGGGGGTGGGGGATGGGTTCTCACTATTGGACAATGGCTCCAACTGGGTTACTATCAAATCCTCAAATTTGGCAAAGACTGGTCAAGAGTTCGGACTAGGATCCACTCATTACTTCCATCATTTCTTCGAGGGGTGGCTAGGACGCGACCAATCGGAAAACAGTCGCAGCTTCGATGGCGTCTCTGTCGGCAGTACATATTCTCCATTGGCTGCGTCGAGAGTACCGCGCGGATCTGCAGGTTTCGCATGAATTTTCTCGCGATTTGCCGATATTCGCGTATGCTGCCGATGGATCAATCAGGGATGACACAACACCCAACACACACAAGGGCGCGCGAGCTGGACTTAAAGCATTTTCAAATTTCCCGCACAATCGCGCTAATCGCGAAATCAGCGAAGCCTAGCGAAAGGGAGGGCGCGGAACTCTGACATCAGCCTAGGCTGAGACTCTGGGATTACGTCTCCAAAGATGGGCGCTCGGAGTGATCGACGCAAGTGAACCGTTCCCCCCATTGGTCGCAGTAACGTTAGGACATCTCCTTGAATTTTAGGGATGAGAATATGTCTTGCCGACGGTGGGAGGTATGCTCCCGGAGTGTGTGAGGACCGACCTTGTACACGAGTTGAGGTAGATGAAGGACCGGCCCATATCCTGACTGCAGGGCTTCCTGCACACAGCCTTAGCAGTGGGTTCCAATTCCCACGTTGCGTACACTTCGCGCCTACGTATTCAGAAATCGACGTGTCCGCGCGCACTTCACGAATTGCTGTCTTGTTTTTTCTCTTAAAAGCAGTCGATTACGTGTGGATCTTCCTAAGACAGTGAGATGAAATTTTTAGTTGACAAATCGACTAGTAGACGCTGTAGGTAATGACAGCACGACAGCCGTTTTTCATTTGGATACCAAGTACTACCAAGCTCATGTAGGCGTTCGTCAGTTCAATACCGGTGCAGATCTTTGTTGGGTAAAAGGAGGGCCAAAATCCGATTTTATGATCGTGCGATAATCTCAGAAGTTGCCGATTACCATTGGTTTTCCATTATTTTTCTTCGTTTTACCAGGGTTGTGCGTGAAGCAGCCGTCTTAGGCCGACGTCATACTTAGGGCGTTGATTAGCGATCGCTCGATATCGCTGGCGATCGCTACGCGCAACGGATGTGCGATCGAGCGAGTCGCTTAGCGAATCGCAAAGTATGGACGTCGGCCTGAAGTGATTGCAAATTTGTTTCTCTAACAAGCGCCTTATTTGAAGAATGACAATTACTCATCAGCCGCTGTAGGTGTTCGTGATGACATTCGTATGTCCTATCTGTTCTTGATAGACATGGTTACAATATTAGATACACCATTCTCATTCCAACGGTGATATTATTATGTTGCCTAGACTTGGTACGAAGGACGAACTGGAAATTATGGAAAGTGTGGTGAAGAAAGTTGATTGCGACTCTCATGTGAGTTTTCGAAAGTACTTTAGTGGGATGATTTCATTTGCTCATTTCATCATTTTCAGGTTTTGGTTGTGGATAACTGCATGCACGATGATTTAAATTTTGCTCAATCGTGGGCTCATAGCTTCAGATTCGAGCTAGTAATTCTGAACCCTGACCCGGTATGCGTTTGACTGTATAATAATGGTGTAATGTTTTAAAGCTCAAACGCCTTTGCGTTCCAGAGTCAGCGAGAAGAAGCAAAATCGCTGAGCGAAAAGTGTGGTATCGCAAGGGTTGTAGAGGTGATCGAAAACGTTGCGTGGCAACTCAAAAAGGACAATTTCAAGAAGGTCAGTATTATGCGTCATAGCTGTATTGGTCGTTTTTCATGGAAACGAAAGAATGTAGATGACGATAAAAAGTCAAGCGGAATCGAGACCCGTGGGAACGTCACACGAGCAGCTGCAGCCATAAATCGATTGTTAATATTTGGTTTCGATGTTCACGTTTAGATTACGGGAAAACAGGGACTGGATCGTTTACTGGCGATTATCGAGGCTATGAGTGAAAGCAGCGAAGACTCAGACTTGGAACCGGATGAGGAAGATAAAGGTACGCAATACCATTCCTTGTTGGTCATTGAGAGGTCTTGTTCAAATATTCACCTTTTATCAGTGGTGTGATCCTTGCTCCTCATCCTTTAACCGAGTTTCATTGCTCTGCCTCGCTCGTCCCCAAAATCGATTAGATCTGGACAGCCTTTTTATAGTATACTTCATATCTTGTCGAAAGAGAATTTCATTTTAGAGGCAATATGGCAAGCATTCAGCTCATGTGGTATCCCGCCGCAAACATCTGAAACTACCTCCTCGTCATCAGTCTCTAAAGAAAGGGAATGTGAAGCAACTGTCTCTGTTGATGTGACTATTGTGAAAAACGAACGGAAGCCTGATCAGTGGTTCTCTGGATTGCTTGACAATAAGGTTAATTTGATGTTTTAGTGGCATCAGAAAAAAAAGATTAATCAGCTTCTCTCTTCAGGCGAAGGGTGTTTCTGACTGTGATATACCGGAGTCTACGGATTTCAATTTCTTCCAAGCAATAAAAGACGTGAGTTTTTTTATTTTCTCAGGAATGGCAATCTACGCGAATTACTTGAAGTTGGAGGCTCGAGAGAAAATAAACTTTGAAAGAGATTGTGAATAATAAATAAAATAAAAATAATCGAATAAACGAAAGAAAATTTGTTTCGCCACCGACATTAAACTTCGTCGAGTGCGGAGGGCGGGCTGCAGCCACCAATAATGGACAAGTGATTACAGCCCGAGCAAATGCGGCTGCAGTTTGCAGATCGTGGGGGAAATGCAGCACACTTACGGCAGTGCCGTGACTTAATGAGTCCTTTGCTTGTTTACTAGATTTTTTCGCCTACGTTTCCAGCTTCTTTTGATGGGGCAGGCACAAGGGTTATACAGCTATTTTTATTCCCTTATTCCACAATAGCCGATTCAGTAAAACACTTGAGGGAGGGCCAGTTGGAAACAAATTGATCTTTGCATCATTTCACTGGTAAAGATAACGTACTTCACGCAGTTGTTGCGGTTTGCGTGTGCTGTCGCTTGTCTATCTTTTCTTTTCAGCTTTGACAGTGAACCAGTAAAAGTCACAGTAATAACTTCGTATAGCATGCTTGAATTATGCTAAAGAACAGTTCCAAATTGCAGACCCGTGACGCTAACATGAAGTTACTCGATCCAGCAAAACGTGCTGACAACGCGGCTGCACTTCTTTCCAAAATTGTCGATCTCAATATGGAGGACAAGGACGAAGCTCGCGATAAGAAAAATCAATAGGTGCTGCCGAAGCTGTTTACTCAGTATTTATTCAAATCGATTTGTTCTTATTTGCAGTTTGCATAGTTGTTTCGTCAATCGGGTATATGTGAAGCGCAAAAATATATTCATAAAGTATTCAAATTAATGTACAATCACTCGGGATAGTTGAGGACCATATTCGAACAAAAAAAAGTAAAGTAGATGTGCTAACCCTGTGATTACTATGAAATGTTGCGTGATTAGTTGATAACTAATAGCGTGAACCAGTCTCATTAATATCTCGAATTGAACAGGTGTTTTTCAAACATCATCATACAACGAATGAATGGAATATCAGGGAAGACAGCTAAAGATACCCATCACATAAACGTAAACCTATAATCGCACACAATTTCGTACAGAGGCTTTCAGTCGATTCTGATATCTGGAATATCACAAAAAATTAAGATTTTAAAAGTAGTATACTCAAACAGGCAGCAAAGCTTATACATCATACAATAGGTAGAGCAGAGCCATACATATCGTATGATTCAGAGTATGAACGAAAATGACTGAGAATACAGAGTATAAAAAGGCGCATCTTGATAGTTAATACAAAGTTGCGTTGTCACATCTGAGTAGATGCTGAAGAAGACATGAGGGAAAAGCATTCGGTGCACTCATAAAACATCTAGTTGGATAGCCTTCATGATTCAATCATCGCCGGGATGCTCTGGGCAACAATTCTTTCTTTTAAACCAATCATCGATACATCTAAAAAAAAACATAATGATCAGCAACTTGTCTTCTCAAAAAAAAAACTCGGTCACAGTTTATGTGGAATATGGAAACTCACTGTTTATGATATATGCAAAGGCAAGGCAAGCGAGCAATCACGGCTCCAGTAAGCATTTCTTCAAGGCAAATTGAACATTCGCCCTTATCTTCGGTGAGAACATCGTCTGAAACATGTCAAATCATATACGCTCTCCATTGCGAGATATATAACGCTGAAAATTGCAAAGAAGTAAGGTTCAATACAAGTCCAAAACGAAAAAAGAGAAAAAGTGGGAAGCTTCATAAGAAGTTCATTAGGAAAGGAGTATTCGCGCGCGACGATTCTTCTTTGCTGTGCCATGCATCCGACCTTCAAGTTATAACGATGACGCGCGATTTACCTCTTTATTTATCATGCACTCAAGGTGCGCCATCGGTAACATAACGTAAATATAAAGTTAGTTCAGCACATCAAACGCGAGTAACTCCCTAAATTAATAGCAGCAATCAATAGCAGTTAATAGCTGCCCTACCAAGGTGTGCCAACAATGGAGCGAAAACGCCATTAAACTAAACCGCCAGGAGCAACCTGCTGACTGACTGAATAGGTAAGGAGAGACATACGCAGACAATTTAGGCCACGGAGACTTGCAGCACTCAGCCGATTTATAGATCAGGATTTTATCACTCAAGACAGTGATGAAATGACTGCCCCCAGAGAAATAGGATTGGATGGCCTGGCAGGATTACCCAGAGTTTGACCCCTGGATCATGCACGCGATGGCATGCAATGGCGCCAATTGTCACAAGACTATGTTTGCTTGCAAACACTGCTTCGCCTACAATGTCGCTCTTTCCATAAAAATCATCCAGGGGAGAATAGGTCGCAGTACTGATGACGAGCAATCCTGTATCGGGTACATCTCCATTTGGGTTTTCTCGTTCTTTTTTTCTCCAAAGTCACATTGTATGGTATTAATAGGGCACTGGTAATGACATCAACGTCACTGATAGGATGGAAAAAGCAAACGAAGTGACAGATGCGTTTTCGCAGAAACAAAAGAAAAAACAAAAAAAAACAAGGACGCACCGTTATAAGTAATTTTCGGTCTAGTAAGGCACATTACAAGATGCACATCAGCCTCATCTGAGGGAACAGTTTTATGACAGATAGGGCAAGTCATATCTTCAGCACCTAAATTAAACCCATTTATTCACCATACAAACTATTTAACTCTTCAAAAGTTTACGAAACATATATAACTCGATCCCTCAAACAAAGCAAGCCAAGGGTCCACGTTATAGAAACCTTTGTCATTCTTATTAAAATCAAATAACCCTACCCATCATAAAAACAGGCATCGAGCGTCTGCTTAAGTTACCTCGCAACCGTCCTGTCCGTGCATGGTTTGAGGCTCAGGCCACCGTGAGAACGCAACCTAGGAAATAAAGTATGCCAAGCATTGAAAAAGTTCACAGAAAATTAGTACTCAGAATTGACCAAGTGGTTATAAGTGATTCGTAACAAGGTTCTACATGAACAATAACCCAGTTAAGTACAATAATAATGAGGAATGAAATTACCCACAATCGAATTTAAACAAATAAAAGCCCATTTTTATGCCCAATTTCTCCCGGAGTGCGCGAATCGCTAAACTTATTACAGCCATTAAACGAGCTTGGCTCAAGTTGAGCTGCACCACAGCCGTGGCTGCATTTAACGTAGACGTGAGGGGGTCCTCGAAAGAAAATTGATTTGCGAAGCGAACGGTGAGAAGGAGACCTCAAAAAAGCACGAATCAGCAGCAATTTTCAAGTG